GGTTGTCATCTTCTCTTTCATTTGGCATGGGATCTTGTCCATAATTGAGGAAGAGGAGCTCAGAGTCTGATTGAGGAGGATTTGTACGAACTAGGAACCAGAGCGAAGATACTGCAGCCCGAGCAGCCCTCGAGACTGACGGTTGGGTCGCATCCTCCTCCACGGTGGTGGGCGTGGTGGGCAAATACTACTGCCTGCCTTATTCTGGGCTGGGCCCGCATACTAGACCCAAAGCCGTGGACCGCAAAACGTGTATCGTTGACCAGTGATGCAATAAGACAGGGTTCCGGCAAGGGCTTAAAATCAATAGCTTATCTCCAAGTTGAATGCGACCCCAAGTCCAGCCACTCAATAAGTACCGCCTCGTGCAAAGAGACGGCAGATTCCGTCGATGGACACCTGTGTATCTATTGATAGTATATGAATATATACTCGGGTGGAGGGCCGCGGAGGTCTCTGCATGAAATTGGCCAAAGGTCCGAACGGCCTAATATAAACCGACGCCTTAGGTAAGGCAGTAGTCGCTCAAACGGGACTGGGACAAGACAGCGGTGTATCAATTGAGGTTGATGTGGCAGTCGAAGAGTCTCGATAGCTTATGTCTGGCAAGAGTGAAGGGGAATGCGCTGAAGGCCGTCTGTTCGCCACTTTTCTTTTACTATCTCAACAACGGCACCAACGAATTACGATGTTTTCCTGCACTCACTCTCAAGACTGTTATTGTAAACCCCACGAATGGCATCAAGGTCAGAGGCAAAGTGTCCATCATCAACATAGTCAATCATGGGGTTCGCGGGGAGGATCCATTGCAACCTCATGATTCGACAAGATGTCGCATGTCGTATGCTGGGTACTTTTCGTTCCAAGCGGCCGTTTGATAGTCCTATTCAGGCAACCAACGTGCTCTGAACGTGGTCAAAACGTTTCGTATACATAGACGGTTGCTAAAAAAGTGGACGCGAGTTGAAACCCCTCAATTGAATGCAACCGTCCAAAAGCCAAATGACGCAGGTCCCACCGCCTCATGCCACGTCGCTTTGATAGTTGGAAGCTGAACCACCTTGACAGCGCACCTGATCCCCACGGGCTATTACCAGACAGACCGTTGCAGCACAGAATCTTCACCAAGAGAAGTCTCTGGCAATGCGAGTTTTGAGGATTAAGAATAGATTACGCCTCAAACTCGGTCGCAACTCATTCGGAGCCTGGTGACTTAAGATTCAGCACTGCGCCTTGCTTACTGGGGATGGCAAACTGGACGATGATGCATTCCTTCGGCGTTTGAAACGTCCTGATATGTATTTGTCGTAGGTATTTGCGGCAGGGGCCTGTTAGGCAGAGGTCAGCCAACATCAGCTTCACGACGCTTTATAAGTCCTTGGTAACCAAAGGCAAATAGACTCGTCGATAACAAAATGTCCACATTCAATTGCCATGTTCGAAGGCCTGTGATCGGGCATACCTGCAACGTAGATTGTTCCAAAATGCAGCCCAAGTCACTCTCGTCTCGTCCCCCATGCGACACTTGGACCACAGCCAGAGTGCACTGCCGGCATTAGTGAGGGCAGTGGACCTGATAGCGCTGTGGAACTAAGGTTGCATGGACAGCGCCCTGTCTTGCCCTGTGCGCTCGAGTGCCGATGTGTCGGTGATTTCTCAAGGGTTTCGACCCCAGCTCGCCCAGATCGAGGCCAATCCCTCGGCTGATGTTGCTGACTCCATCTTGTGGTGATTACAAGCCACAGTGATTGAACGTATCTCTACATATGCTTGAAGGCAAGCTTACAAAAAGAATCAGATGCTGGACCACGCTGATTATCAATATGCATACCTAGGTACTCATAGGTGCGCTTGTGTACGGAGACTCATACTGCCGAGCGACCGGGCCATATCTTATGATACGCAGTGATTGCTCGTCACATTCAGTACATAACATATGAAATCCGCTTCATAACTCTCGTTTTGTCATAGAAGCTGAGCCGTAACTACCGTAACCAAATGCAAGCGTGTAATCTGAATGCCGGGTTCTCTTAGACGTAAGCCGCCGTGCTGTTGTGTATTACCTCCCGATGCATGCTCTGAGACAGGCGCCGAGACAGAGACACAAACCTACACAGCACCCAACCTTTTCAGCGCTCCTCCTTCCTCCCCTCAACGCCACCTTCATCCTCTCGCCTAGCGTCCTGCCAGAAATGCGCTCAGTGTCCCAGCGATCTGTGTCCTGATAATCAGGTCGCATTTTCCAGCGTTTGCCGCTTCCTTGGGTCCGCCGTATCCTATAGTAGTCTTGAAGTACTACCTATTGTCTGTTGCTTTCGGTAAGAAGCAGCACCTTTAATGCGGTCGCCCCGGTAGAAATTAGAAGTTCTAAGCGTTTCGTTTCGATTTAATAGCGCAAACTGGCAGATTTGTATTGCTAAATAGTATTAATGAGGTGAGCTTTATACCTGAGATCGACATAACATGGAAAGGGTATGTGAGCTCCTTGTGCGTGTTAGGCTTTTTATATGTTTGTACTCTTCTTACACACTGGCAATACCTCGTTGTCGAGCGGTGTTTCACGCTATGTTGTGACAAGCGACTCCCGGGTTCATGTTTGTAATAGGTACCATCAAATGATTATGCATAATACACTGAGTGTCAAAACACACATTTCCCCTGTCAGTTCAGAAATTGTATTGGTTCCACGTCAGAAGCATGATGACCGGCAAATACTTATCTTCACACTTTTTAATTTACAATATCATGTTGAGATTGCCATTTTAGAGTGCGTGATCAACATTTTTAGCTCCGCAATGAAACAGCCAGCTTGTACCCCGAAGGGATCAGCCGGCAAGTTGGGTCATCGGTCGCTGTCGACACCTCGCCAGTTGTGTATTGTAAATGATAAGAAACATCAGTGAAAGTACAAGCACATCTGCATGTCGCGGTTGTCGTAGCTCTAATCTCGGAAACATCCCAGCCCCCCAGGATGTACAAAAAGGGACGAATCTCTCAATTCAGAGTCTCTCAATCTTGATCCTATTCAACTTTAATTACTTGTATACTATTTCTGGAACGTCTACGGGCCAGATTTTATAAGATTGGGGTAAATAAATGTATATTCAGCTATGGCGATCTTTTAAAGAGGGCACAGATCCTATGGCACATGGTTATCAGATCGACAAGACATGAGTCTCAACTAACGGAGCTCCTTAATTGACGATCTGTGATCTACACATGGCTGAATCATCGAGGCGCCCTCCCTGATGAGTTGATTCGCAACGTCATCGGACACTAGCGGTCGAGCTGCCATAACATCATTCATCCAAAATGTTTCCTCCCGCTGTTCTTGCACATGTTCCATGCCAGGCGCCGCGAGAGACAAATGGGTCAACATTAAGTTGAGAAGAACCCAGAACAGCTGTCCATGGCCGGTATTATCTTCTACCTGGTGCCAGTAACGGCTCGGGCTGTTGTCGCGGATCAGCACATGGAGATATATGTGAGCCATTTCATGTGCAATCGTGCAGAGGAGAAAATCGAAGTCTTGCCACTCGCTTTGTACGGTGGGTTCCCGGGGGACCTTGGACATGTTGATGATTAAAGCGGCAGGCTCCTTGTAGAAGACTCCATTCCAGAGTTCTCCATTCGGTCCTTTTGCGTAGGGAACACATTCATACCTGAAAATCTGTCTACTCTTTACGACCTTGCCTTCATCATCCCTGACTAGTCGGAGGAGGAGACCAAAGAAGAAAATTTCGTCAATCCATTCAACGTATCGGGACGTTAGGCGACAGAGGTCAGCGCCCGTAGGAGGATTTGTTTGACAAGTTTGAAAGTCGGTTTGGAGCTGTCGTTTAAATTCCTGCATGCGAGGGTGGTCGGGAGACCCTGTGGCTAAGCAGTTTTGCTGAGTGAATTGAACAAGGCGAGCCGCATCATAAGAATATTCACTGTCTTTATCTGAGTCCAGCGACCAAAAATGTCTTCTCTCCTCTCCTTCTGTCTGGAGCCAGAACTCTATACGGGCACCAAATCTCTCCACTTCTTCGCGGGCGGCAGGTGACAGTGATGCTGTGTTAGACATCTCGGTGTAGAATGGATTGAGTCTATTGTGAGTCTGTTCTGAAGTGATATTGGTGAGTTATTTGCTGAGGGCCGTAGTTAAGCAGATAAATTCTTAAAGTGTCCTGTGTCAGTGTCCATATATATATAATATCCTTCACGGTCGTACCATTGACAATTTCGGTGCAGCGTTTCGAAGACGAACATAATGTAATTAAACGAAATCGTTGCTTGCGCTTGATTGGTCAAACAACAGCTGTGTTTCGAAACTACCTAATAGCCTATGACAGCTGGCGCTATAGAACAACACACTTGTATTGCCCCCTTAGCAGGTAATGCGAACAAAGCCGCAGTTCATCACGGGTGCCAATCTTTGCGCTAGGTTCGCAGCAGCTCTATGCTAAAGCGATAACAAAAGCCACCTATTGTGGTCAGATCGTTGATCCTTCATTGTCGTCCTAGTCGACGTCGATGTAGCACCAATTGTCTGGAGCAGGGGTTTCCTACCGCCAGTCACATCCACTGACTGGCATCTGCTTCATTCCTATCTCGGCATACCCTGCAGACAGCCTGTACAGTCCGCTAAACCCCTTAGATTCCTCCATGCACGGGCCAGTTTTGCCTCTACTCTATGTTGATACGTATTTCGTATTTGGACTTTTTTGCAACCTTTCTAGAGACGAGACCCTTTGGAGCACCTGCATCGGGTTGGACATTGCTAAATGAATGTATAGAGCAGCACTAATGCAGATCTTTATTCAATTTGATGGCGTTAGATGAGGAAGTTTTCTAGCACTAGGAATAACAGCGGTGGCACCTCTCCTTAATCATATCTCGATAACCAACACACATGCATGTAAAGTACCTTGTGAAAACCTCGTTTTAAGGGTGCAAGAAAGGGAAAGTAAACGGGGGGAATTAGGGGAAAGATGAGGAGAAAAAAAACTTAATACTTGCAACCGCAGGAATCGAACCCGCGCCTCCTCCGTTCACTCTTCGAGTTACTTGAGAGACATGCTACCACTACACCAAGCTGCGTGTTTAAAAATTAAGTTACGCAAAGACCCTTATATAGGCAGCTCTTTTCAAACAAGACGAGCTGGACTAATCACGCGGCAGTCACGCGCAAGTCCTGTAAACTCTATTTCTAATTAGCTACATTTCTATTTTGTGGGTAAAAGGGAGATCCCTATGGTATAACATGTAGGAAAATTTTACTGAATACTGCATGTTTTCATCGCTGTTTCGCACTAGTCTGGCATCATAATGCCGTTGAAGCCTTCTTATGAGTGGCTTATATACTGCCTGCCAACTCCGAGCACCTTTAAGCACTTACTTAAGAGCCTATCAGCTTCTAGTTACGTGGCAATGACTACCCTCAGTGGTCAACGGAGGTATCTTCTTTGAATATCAGATGGTACGTTTCTTACCTTGCCTCTTAAATTCCTATGTGACATCTACACGTTGAATTGTATGAGCATATAACTTCAGGCCCTATACGGCCCGACTTGGATGTTGTTTTGTCAGCAATAGGTAGCTGAATGTAGGTACCAAATGTGGGAGCAGATAGATATCAGTAACCCTCACAGCATAATACTGCTCGACCAACAAAATTTCTTGCACGTATGGCAGAGCACGAGGAAGCCCCATAATTCGTTGCCTCGCGCCTTCTCACCACGAATGACGCGCATCAGCGTGATCATTACCATACCCTTCAACTTTCGAGGTATTGGACCGCTCTGGATAGGCGTTATGTGTGAGCAGCTTAGGTTTCTAGTAGGTAGAAGGGGGTCAGAGTAATAGCCGTATCATGCAGTACGCGTCTTGAAGGATCAGTGTTTGGCACGAGATCGGCCTGTGCCTACCGTATATCTATGTAATTCTATTATGTACTAGTACCTACCTACATGTATCTACATGTAGGTATGAGAACATCTAGGTGTATCCAGTCTTGTCCAACATGCATCATCCCGTGTGCCACCTTATGGCAATGTTGACCTGTACGTGAATCTACCCACCCGAAGCTTCATGGAGGTAGATCTCGGTTAAATTACACCAGACCAGCAATCGATCTAGACAACTTCAATTCCGACCTATCGCATATTTTCAATAGAGGGAGAGCACGCGAGATTTTCCGAAGTATGGCATATGAGACGAGTCGAATGCATGTTGCTGTATTAGGTGTACATACCTTTTCTGAGCTCTTTATACTATACAACTGGTGCAACGATATTTACGTCTACGCAGTTATCCCACATAATACGCAGGCATTGCCACGAACGGTCAAAGTCTGACACGTTTGTCACATACAGGTCCAATTGGAGCCCACAGATTATTAGTAAATTTTCAACCACGCGTCATATGATCAATATGTGGGACAGGGGGCTGCGCGGAAGCTTGACAATAGTGCCCTGCCAGTTCTGAATCCCCTAGGTCCCGCCGAGAAAATCAGTTGTGACGATTTTATTGTACTTTATGTATGTTGGTACGAAGGGTAATCGAGTTCGAAATTAGCCGAAACTCGTTTTTAACAGCCTAGCGAGTTAGTGGGATGTACCCCAGGACTTAATAGGCATGAACAGAGCTGCAAATACTTATGCCAAGGTACTCTTTAAGAGCAGATTTCAAGATCGATGCTTACTTCTTACAAGATCCCATCACGCAGAGGGAACGATTGCGAAATGACTTGATTCGGGTCTTGGGCCCTTACTATATAGCTTGCTATAGCGGATCGTGGAATGAGGGTCTTCTTGGGCACTCGCCAGGCTTCAGGAACATAATCGCGGAAATGCTAAGATACTGGCAAGATATATGCATGAGGACTCAAATCGCAAAATGATCCTTCAGTTCAAGCAGGTATCAAACGAACAAACTTGAGGGTACTAAACACGCTTAAGCCATCTGGTTCATATACACTAGGCCGACATCTCTACTGCTGTTGAACGCCTAAGTTCTGCCTGCTCGAGCCTATCCATCATGCTCTTCCAGGTCCGGTAAGACGAACGCAGCTCGCTTGCTTCCATTTCGACGCGCTCTAATGTGCTCTTAGCATCCTCCACTTGCTTTTGAACGGGAGCGCCATTGTTCAGATTAGCTTCTTTAAGTTCTTTGGCAGCGATTGCATTCTCGAGCTCCTTCGCCGTCGGTTTCAAGAAGCTCCCGAAAAACGCAACCCCTCGTTGCGCAATATCCAATTGCTCGGAAGGGACTTCTTTGCCATGAGTCTTTTCCCAATGAACGTTATTCAGACTTGGGAGTTTTCGCCACGTTCCTGCTTCGGGAACGTCAACCTTGTTTGTTGTGAATGCCGAAGGTGTTTGAGAAGGGGCGTAGCGGTGGTATCCGACCGAATTTCCGCATCCGCAGGGAAACGTGCGCACAGATACTTGACAGCAGCCATGAGTTGGACATCCTAATGCCGTAGATTCCTTCTCAGATTTGCAACACGAAGTCTGTGGTAAGGCGAAAGGGTCCACGACCCAGGTATCTGGTCGTAGAGGATGCTGCATTATGGGGCGTACATCACATCGCATAGAATGATTGATAATTTTCAGACACATCTTAAGTATGTTTGGTGTATCGAACTTGGATATCGTGAGAAGCTGGATATCGACTTATTTCAAATGCTCGTGCGGACGAAAATACTAGTAAACGTAAGCGAGATAGCTGTGAAATCTCTTGAAAGCAGACACTATGTCTCAAGAGCGCAGAGCCTGTTTTAAAGAGGTGTAATAAAGATATAGTCCTTTGAATGAGGATGCGCGCCTTTTGTTCGAAAGACAATGTGAATTTGGGAAATGGAGTGCTTGAACTTGGTATCTGACACAAAGAAATATTCTCAATTCGCTGCAATTAGTTCTGCATCCAACCGAGCAATCACCACTATAACACAATGAATGGAATAAAGAACAAATCAACATAAACATTCGTGATTTTTAGACAGTTTAGACAATTGGTCGAAAAATTAGTAATTGTAATCTAGCTATAGTATCGTTCATTCTTTGCTTGACGGTCTGCATCAGGACAGATGCTACGGCACCTATTATGCAGCGCAGTTTACAGTGCGCCTTTACTTAGTCAACGATGTCCAATAAAGGCTCTAAGAGACGGGTTGTATAAACTCATGCCCTCTTATACTACCTCCATTCATAATAACTATCACGTCGTTCAGTGCTACGGACTCCATCAGATAAGTAGGCACTTCATAGGTTTCGAGAAAGATACCAAGCGAATCCTTGTGGCTTGAAATTATATCCATTATCCCTTTTTTTCAGCAATTTTCAACTATATATTTTCGTTCCACACCGGTTCTAATCACTCTACTTTACTGCGGCTCAGCCTGCTTCAGTCCTTAGAGCCGACCTATTTCTGTATCTTTTCTCTCATCGGACCAGCCTGGGCGCCTAAGAACCACTTTCGGAAAAGAAACTTTCCAACATGTCTCTCATCGGTTCATCGAATGGTACTTATGGCCCTCAATGCACCCATTTTAGAGACTGGGCGATGTGATCGCCATGGTACACGCTCAAGCATCCGCGCCTTACACCTTAGTTACAAATGTTAACCAACGGATGAGTGACGTAAAGCAGTAAATCTATTGTGAGGAGTTCCTAGCTTTTCCAAACTATCTAAGTCAACAGAACTAAAGATGGCGTGCTTACGATGCTGCTATTCACTATTAGTTGGGTTTGAAGCTAATCAAACATAAGGGCATTGTTAGCCTTAGTCACGATTAGTGATCTTGTCAAACTCGCCCCTCTTTATGGATGGCGCAAAAATCGTTCTCATGCATATATTCATTCATATTTTCTCATGTTTTATAGGCGTGTTGTTGTTGTGTCGGACTGTGATACTGACGAGACGCAGAGATAGCGCCGCATTGCTTAGACATGCCACGGGAAAAAACAACGCTGCTATCCTGGATCTGGATATCGACCTATCGACCTATATATAGTGGATTCTTCTGCAACAGGACACTATCACAGAGGTAGGCACGGTGAAAGCCCTGCCGCAATGTGAATCTCTTATACCTCTTGATAGCATGCTTGGACCTGCAATCAATCGCGAGCGGACTGTGTGGCCACTGTCTCCTGTTCCACAGGCACATGGTAATACAGTCAACAGTAATCATCTTTGATTCGAACTGTCCTTCACTTGAGCCAATGCATGATATGTAAATGAGTCCAAGTAGACCGTGGATCGAGTGGAAAGAGAGCAGCGCACCATGGTCTTCACCATATACCCATTAGATAGCGGACAACTAAATAACTTTCAGATGTCATCAATGCAAATCCAGATAGCGACCTGAGCCAATTATTCAGCGGAGTTCGTCTCCGTGAAGGTTTGGCTAGTTTGGCGCGCTGAAACTTGCACCTGAAAGATCAAGCTCAAATCTAGTCAGATCTGCCCTACCGCCCAACCCATATAAGGCTGCCACGTTCGGACATCGCCTTTCTTCCACCTCATTTTTTTATCTTACTTTTTGCAGTAACGAATTGCCAAGTGGCAAGGATCCATCTGTGTAGTGCTTCCTTGAGGCATCCTGTTCTTTTCTACCACAGCCAATGATGAATTCTCAAGGGGACCTGAGGCTATTAGCTTCTGTCATTTGCGTCGACTTAAGCTCAACTGCAAAGTACACTGTTCTTTTCTAACACTGACCTATGATGAGGCTCCAGAGGACGACTGAGGTCATATATAGTATCGCACTCGCTGCATATTTGCACCAAGTAGCCAGGTACAAGGAAGGCACTGCACGCATGACGTATCAGGTGTCACGTACGGTTCGTGGAAAACCTCGTTAAAACATCGGCCTTTGGACTTCAACTTCCAGGTTTCAGAATATGCCACTGTTGTTTCTTTCCTCGTTGCAATCGGTGACGATGTGTCATGCACAGCAATGGCCGCCTGCTTGACTATAGCATCCATCGCACCTTAAGATCATAGTCGAAACACCTCCATTCCTTCCCATTTCATTGACAGCCAAAGGGAATACCCTCCGCAATGCAAAGCTGTAGTTTCCAGGGAGTGATGAAGTA